TTCCGTACACACTATATATATATATATATATATATATATATATATATATATATATATATATATATATAATCACAGCAATTATTACTGCATGAACATTGATTTCACAGGTCAGCTTGAGAACAGGAGGAGGGCTTCACAGGCTTTTGGTCCTCTCTGTCTGTCCAACAAAAGATAAATACGCTATGATGTCTCCTTGTTGGGATGTATGTGCAGGATAATATTTCTTCTGTGTCATTTAAAAAGATCATTAAACTGCAGGGAGGCAAGATGTTTCAATCGCGATGCACTCAGTGTGTCAATGTCACAGTTTAGCGCCACAAGTAGCACATTATGGGGTCAGCGACTGAACTTTTACAAACCCCACTGTCGGCCTCTTCTCTGATGACCTCACCGGACTTTAATGAAATATGCAGCAGCACTCATTCACACACAAATACGCTTGCACACCGATAAATAAGTCAGGATGACTTCATTTGTTAAGTTCACACCGATAAATTAATCAGTACAGCAGTAATTAGAAGCCTTTGGTTGTGGCGCTGAGACAAAAATGATGTCTTTTTCTACATAATTTTATTTAAAACGGAATGGAATGGCTGTTATGAAGCAGGATGAAAATCTAATTTTCTGTCTTTAATAAACTGCTGTGGTGTTATCGCCACAGCAGTTTATTAAAACTGCCATTGTGGTTTACTTGTTAACTTATCAGGGTGCAGTATTAAACCATTAAAGGGAGAGATTTCTAAATCAAAGCACAATTTAACACAAAACGTCTGGTGTTTACCCCAGGGTGGGCTCACTCTAAAGTGGATCTGAACGGCCGTTTTCTACCGATGTCTTAAAATTATGGTCATGTAAGTTAAATATAAACCCCCAAAGGCTAATGGAATCATACTTTATTTCCATACTCAAGCCATTTTAGTCGTCTCCTCTGCTGGCAGGTGTCTCTTAATAGATGGGCTTTTCTTCCATTATACTGGAAACACATGTTTCATATCCATATTCTCCAATGGAGTTACGAAATATTCTGCGGTTCGGCGAAGCAGCCAAAACATTCTGCAGCGAAAGAACGACACGAGTGCTTTGTCTACACGCAGGAACCTCAAAGACAAAGACACAAACAGAGGAGATGAGGAAAAAAGAAATTGAAGAGGTAAAGCGAAAAGAGGAGAGATGTGAGAAGATAATGAAAAACAGAAAAAGTGGACAGAGCACTGAAGAAAAAGAGAGAGTGAACCTTGGGTATTTTATCCAGCCATCTTGGTAAAGGCCAGTCTGGAGTCAGTAATTGGATTCATATTTCAGGACGTGCGATGGGGTGATACTGATCTACAAGAAGCCCCCCTGCCAACGCCGCAAATCAACACACGTGAAATGCTGGAGTCTCTGTAAAAATAAACACATTTGACTTGCTGTTCATGATGAAGGGGCTCTATTCAAGATCTAACATTTTAAATAAGAATTCTTTGTAAACCATGTTAGCTGTTTCACTAACCATTTTGTGTTTTGCTAACTCGAACCACCCTCTTTCTTCAAAACCTCCAAAAACGTCAGCAAACTCATGACACATGAACATCGAACATGAAAGACAGATAGCATATCTGATAAAAATCAGTTTAATGTGAGCGGTCTCTCTTTATTTTCATTTAGCCTGAGGCATTTTTGCTGTTGTACAGTCATCTACCTCAATCAGAGCCCTGTCCACACAAGCACACTTACATGCACGCACACAGGCCCTAGCATGGACACACACACGCCTCTAAGAGCTAGAAACAGAGAATTAAATCCAGATGATGGGTGAGGAGAGAGATAGATGAAGGATTCAAGGTCAAATCTGAAGGAATTAGATATGCAGCTTTGAGAAATCAAGGAACATGTTTGCCTCTATATTTTGAGACTATATGGTGACAAACATGTTCTGAGATTTTTCAGTGATGAAAATAATTTTAAATAGTCATTCAAATTTCAAATAAAAGGCAACAATCAATTACTTAACATAATATAAAATTGTTTGAATGTATATTACAGAAGCCCATTTTTTGCTACATAAGAAAAAAATCACGCTTTGATTAATCATAATTATGACAAAGCATATTATGTGGTATTGTCATAATTCTGAGATGCAAAGTTAAAATTATGACATACTAAATCATAATTGTGAGAAAATGTCATAATTATGACATTTAAAGTATTTTATTATTGTAAAAATATTGAAAATGTACCTGAAAACACATGAAATTCTAATTATTTTATGATTTAATTTTTCAACCATTTTCCCTGGCCTATGCATTAGTTCAAGCTCTAACAAAGTGTGCAAAGAGCAAAACAAAACAATAATTATATATAAATTACATATACGTATATGATAAAATAAACACATAATTTAAAAACCAGTTGCTCTTTTTGTCATTGGTGTCAATATTAAAAAGTTTTACTTTGAAAATACAAAAAGAGATATAAATGCACTCAAAAGGTTAAAGTTCATTTAAATGTGTCATTGGTGTTATTATCGTTTGTGAGGAAAATTTTAATTTAATAATAAAAAAGATTAAATTTGATATGAAATCAACACCTGGTGTCAAGTCAGCATTCATAATAATGTCAAGATGGTAAAAATATCATCAGCCTTTATGCAAAAATTTTTTGAATTCAAAGCTTCAACATTTTTAGAGAATGATGTATGCGCACACACTCTTCTACTCACTTGTGCTTTGTTTATTCTGGGCAGCCACATTTAAAACACTCATTACAGCATCTTGTCATCACATGCGCTTGACATGTTTGATTTACTGCTGTCAATGTGCAATTCCATTCTATAATATGAATACCAATGACCACATATTTTCTTTTCAGTGGCCAGGAACATAATGTCTTACCCTCTGAATGCCCTTTGTGTTGTCTGAATGAGAAAAGAGAAGGAAATGGGATCAGGACAGCCTTAAGGTGGTCTCTTTGAGAAGATGGGTGTTGGCATGCTTATCAGCAGCTGGTCTTAGCAGGAACAGATATGGGACACAACAACACGCTGCAGAGATTTACAGATATGCAGTGCTGAAGTACCGTGCAGCCAAACACACACACCTTTGTAAGGAAGCTGAGATGATGATCCGTGTCCTCTGTGCAACCCGGACACTGCTGGAGATCCCCCATCAGGCTGGAAGCTGTTTTGCTCTCCACTGCTGTGTAACACACTGTCTGTATCAGCCTACTTCGCTTTTATCTCCACACACTCATTACATCATCCACTTCTCTCACAGTGAGTGTGTTTCTGTTTCTTTCACTTGCTTTATTTTAGATCGGGCTTGTTTTACTCACTCACACAAACACCTCACCATCTGACTGTAATAACAATGACTTTGTCAATAAAATACTCTCTCTCTCTCTCTCTCTCTCTCTCTCTCTCTTCTGACCTGAGAACATCTTTGCGGTTATCTCTCTCTCTCTGTTTCTCTCCTGCCTGAGGCTGCACACAATGCACTCTGATGTAGTTATCCAAGCAGCGCTGTGAGAAGTTGCATCAGTGTGCCACAAGATATGAATCACACTATTTTACACTGTGCTGTCATTTAGAAGAATGCCACTACATCCGTTAGCACTGTCGCTGGGGTTAAATGTCATTGACCTTACAGAGCATCCATTTAAAATCACTAGATCTCTGAAGTCTCTTGTGGGGTTTTCAGTAAACAATCAGAATTAGCTAAGGAGCACTGATGATTTTTTTGTTTTGTTCTTTTACTTTTATGCCATTACAGGAATGGTGAGTACTTGCGAGATTTAAGAAAAACTGCAAAAATGTACATGCTGAATAATTATATGCAGTGCTCACCACAAAAACACACATCCTCCTATCATTTTAAAAACATGACCTCTCACGATAGGGTTTTTTGCTCTCTTGAGTTCAGTTTAGGACAGCAGCAGATAAATAGCCATGGTAACTCGTTAACAGAGAAATGGCAGAACACATGCTGATGCCACTGTGAGCTCATAACTGTCAGAGTATGTACTGCTTTTAACGAAGACCGTTAATGAAGCATGCATGTTATACAATGGAAAAATTTGCCTATTTTGCAAACCTTAGAAAATGTATACATAGAATTTACTACCTTTATATAAAATTTACTCCAGTTTCCAGTTCACATAAGTGGCAGTAAAACACTAACAACTTTTGGTAACACTTTATTTCGATAGTCCACTTTAGACATTCTATTAACAGTAAGTAACTTTGCAACTACATGTCAACTAGCAGTTAGTAGAGTATTAGTAGACTATCTGCTTAATATCTTCTAATACTTTCTGTCAACTTATTCTACTAACCCTAAACCTACCCTGTCTACTCTGAGAGTTAGTAGACATGTAGTTGCAAATGAATGAGAATTAGTTGACATGTAGTTGACATGTAGTTACAAAGTTACTTATAGTTAATAGAACGTCTAAAGTGGACTAGTGAAATAAAGTGTAACCCAACTTTTATTCCTTTGTACACAAATTATGATTACAGGGGCAGATTATCGATTAATAAAGACTCATTCTTGCATGGTTCCTTGCACAAAGCTCTGTTATGTCCTCAAAACATTTTTACCACAGTGGATGTTTTGCAAACTGATACACTGTCATATTTGTCACATAACCAGCTCCACATGTATGGCTTTTCTGACATAGCAAACTTCCTCTGCGGCTCGCCTGGTACAGCATTGCACTTGCGATGTGGATGACTTGGTACGACTTCTGTGAAACAAGTGTCACGATAAAAGAGCTCAAAGACTTGTAGAAGCAAGATTTCGAGGCACACTCATGAGAGTACCATGTGTGTGCATTCCTCTGCTTGCAAACAAGCCGCGGCACATCTCTACACCAGAATGCCGGCTCCTGCATCAGCAGCACCGCACGCATGTGTCGTGAGGTCATAATAAAGTCATTATTTTTGTTTTCTTTGCACACAAAAAGTATTTTCATAGCTTCATAAAATGACGGTTGAACCACTGATGTCACATGGACGATTTTAATGATGTCCTTACTACCTTTCTGGGCCTTGAACATGTCAGTTGTGTTGCTGTCTATGCAGGTTCAGAAAGCTCTCGGATTTCATTCAAAATATCTTAATTTGTGGAAAAAAAAACATCAGAAAAAACATCCGAAGATGAACGAAGGTCTTATGGTTTTGGAACGACATGAGGGTGAGGAATTAATGACAGAATTTTCATTTTTGGGTGAACTATACCTTTAAGGTAAGGTTTAGTGCAGGTGGTATGTTATATTCAAATGCAATGAAGCATAAACATTTCATTTAAACTTTTGGCATCATTCACTGAACATATAAATTGGAAAATTCCACAAAACACACAAGAAGCAACATATTAGTGATGTTTTTGCAATGAGCATATGTGGCTCCAAACCTGAAAAACTTATTTTTGTCTTCTGTGGAACACACACACAAAGAAATATATTTTGATTATTTTCTGTCCAGACAATTAATGTCAATGGGGTCCAATGTTATTTTGGACCACATAAACTTTCATTATATGGACAAGTTGACACATTCTTCAAAATACTTAGTTTTTTGTTCCACAGGAACAGTCAGAACTTTACATACTGTCGGTTTAGAATGACATGAGAGTGAGTATATGATGATGCAGGTTTTATTTTTAAGTGAACTACTCATTTCAGTAATGTCCACTTTAAAGAATTCCATGCAGAAAATACAACACATAAATGTGATATTAAGGTCTTACTCAGCAGAGACTGAAAGAACTCAAGGCTAATTCTATACCAAGTACACTCAAACGGCTGATTTTTTAAGCTCACAGGGTGCTTTCATCGCTCATCATCTCTCATTCATCCCCCTGTTCTCTCTGTTCTCCCCCAGGGTTCTCTCAGATGAGGAACGTACAGCATCACTGGTTTTCATCTCCCCTCAATCCCTCAACAACTACTAGTTGTGCTCTGTTTGGTACAGATGTTATGGGGGAAACACATTCTGAAAGCTTATATCCTGTTTGCATGTTTTCAATTACCAAATAAATAAATATATTTTTCGCACATGTCGCAGGCATAGTGGATCAAGATTCATGCTGGAATCTGACCGATCTGATTGTCTCCCAAACAGATTGTCTCCGTTGGTTTCAGGGCCTGACTACAAGCCTGCGATTGTAAGCCCTTGAAAACTAGCCCTATAAACAATGTCTGACTTGATATGATTTTGACAACAACTATGTAACAAGTATTGTTCACATTAGGTCGTTAATAAGAACAGTTAATGCTGTTTTACTTACAAAGATCAGGAAAATTATGGGGCAGTTTAAAGTACTAAGAATAAAACACAACGGGCAAAAAAAATAAAATAAATAAAAAAACAAGAAAGACAAGCTTATTGCGTGTGGCAGCAACAAAAAAAACTTAAAGTATAATAGAATCCAATATCTATAAAGAAAGTCTGGAACTAAGCACAATTAATAGACCTTGTTATTAAACATTATTAAAATGAATCTCAACAACACCTAGTGCAACACTCTATTCTGTATCACTCATGCTTAAATAGAGTGCCTGTTTGCTACTGTTGACCTGCTAACTAACCTCTCCAACTAAGGGGTTCTGTGTGAACTGCTCTCTAACAGCAAGTGCAAAAGAGTTTGCATACTCTTTCATTTGCAAAATTAATTATATAATATTAGATTGGTGATTAGCACAACCTAATTTTTTCCATTCTTTTAATGACTTTAAATGCATTTTAAAATTACGCTTTTATTTATTTGTTTTGTATTCTTAGTCCTTAAATGAGTTTAAATTGGACTTTAAAAAGTCTTCTTTCTCTCTTTATCACTTTCATGTAAAGCCTGGGTCAGTATGGTTACAATTTCCATAGTCATCATTAGATCTTGACTGCACAATGCACAGTCCATTTAAAAACAGAGAGACATAGGTCTAAGGAAAACAAAAGAAAGACAAGGAGGAAAATAGAAGAATGGAAAGCGGATGTGTAAGTCATTTGTCTACAGCGCTGGTGTGGTTTAGCCCCATCTCTGAGCAGCATGAAGGGGTTTATATCCAGTCTAGCCATACTGAGTCAAATTATTTTTTAGAAGACAATGAGAGGAAAGAGAGAATGCACGTGAACGTCACTTTTAGCTTGTGTATTAAGACATCAACATCAACACCCTTCCAAATCAACCACTGTTCTCAATTTATTCTTTTTTTTCCCCCTTCACTTTCTTTCACCAAAGTTTGACCCACGAGTTTCAAGACACTTAATAAAAGAAAAATCCTTGTCGAAGGCAGTGACATGACATCATACTCACATTGACGTCAAATAAGTCGAATGTGTCCAAATGCACTATTGAGAAACTAACAGAGGCATCCAGTCAAGGAGAAAAGAGAGTTTAGAAACAGATTACTCACACTAGGGAGTGACAGCGTGCACAAGGTGCTGGCTGCAGACCCGTGTCCTGTTTCCAATCACTTTTTCCATGATGATTTTCAACGACCTGGTCACTGTCCGTCATTTCCTAATTGAAACAATAGAAGGCCTTTTTATACCTTTGCACACTGACAATTCAGTTCACTGCTGTGCGTTTATGAGGTTTACTTTACGGCTGAAATTGAGCGAAACCACATTGTCTCTGCTTTCGTGATTTGATATACATTATTATTACTAATACATTTTGACGCTCTCAGACTGATCCATACAAATGCAAAACGACTTTCCTCCAATAAAACACATGCTCTGAACTCTGTAATCAAATTCATTTTCGGATGATCTTCAGAAATGACGTGTAAACTCATGGTTAAGGTTTTGCGGTCGGCGTAAGGTTTGCTGTGCTTCCTCCATCTAAACCTTCTTTTCAACCTCCATCCTTTCATTTCCATGTGACAAGCCATTAATCATAGGGATGAAGAGAAAATAATTTCAGTCGTGGTTAAAAGGATCAGATTTCTTCCTGTGATGTGGTTCGGAACCCAGAGAAATACATATTTTACATCTACAGAAACACTGATTCATGATTTAGACATTGTAAAAGCAAATCAAGCAGTTCAAATGCTTTTAGCTTTCGTAATGCTCACAGTGGCCAAGTCCAGTGATAAACGGCCATGACAAGTGTTTTAAGCGGTCGAACGTATGATTTCAGGGGGCTTGTCGCATAACGCCACAAAAATGTGCTGACATCATAGACCTTAAATTTCATCTGCTTTAAACCATACTGAAGTCTATCTGAGTAAAAATCCCTAGTTGGCTTGGAGAGGTGCCTGCGATGGCACAAGTCTGTCTGGCTTTGATGATGTCACTGCCGATTTGACCCCTGATGTCATGCCTAAGATGGTCCAGACACTTAAAGAGCCATCAGTCAACCGGGCTCAGCCACACAGGCGGACAGGGAGACAGAGGAATGAAATAGTGTGGAAGAGAAAAAGAATATTTTCCATTTGAATTGATGGAAATTTATGAATGCGCCAGTATTCCATACAAACCTGAGGCAGTAGGAAAGGAAGGTCACTTTGTGTGTCAGACATTCTTGGAAGGCGCTGGAAACCTCTGTGGCCTGGGGAGAGGTTTATGGAAGGGTTGTGAAATATGGCAGCGAGGTCACAAAAAGGGTGACAACTCGGGTCATCAGAATTACACCGAGCCCCCAAAGTGCTGGATTACCCAGCAGCCTCTCTTTTTATTTATTTTTTTACCTTTAATTACACTCTCCCGCAGGGTCTTCGGGGAGATTTGTAACATGGAGGCACCTGCGTCAGAGAACAGTGTGAACAAACGAATAAGGTCAAACAGAGTTGGCAATTCCTTGATGACTCCCACACTTTAGAATCTCTTAATTGCGCTCAGTATACACATCTATGCACCTCCTCGACGGCCCCTGTGAAAATAAACACATACACACACACTAACTCCAGCACATCTGTTGCAGGAAATCTGTGAGTTTAACCTTACAAGCAGCCTGGGATTAACTAAACCCAGAGCTAACCCCCACCAGGGACAGATAAATCCTCTTCTCACCTCTGCTAGAGAGCGATGAGCTACCTACACATCCTCCACGCGGCTCCCCCTCACTTAAAAACCTACAGCTGATCCTGATTCAACAAGAGAGGGGTTAAAAGTTTAGCCCCAGAGGGTTTTAAGGGCTCAGGGCATTGGCCTTTCCCAGTGTTCTGTCTGCAATCCCAGCCTTGTGTGTTAAAAAACAGGTTAGTTAGCTATGCTATACTTAGGGCAACATGACTTTTGCCCAGATTTTTGCCATGGTTTAAAATATGGAAGAGTTTATGATGGGCACAGACTCTCAAAGAACGATTTTCTAGCTCCAGAATATGATTCCAACCAGTCGAAGGATATCACTTGATTTTTTCAGCCGATTTTAGAATACATATTGTTTTCACATTTCTGTGTGAGTTTGTTGTGTTCAGAACAACTTGAAAGTCTGGTAGTGTGTGATCTTCTGTCGGCAAGTGTATGATGGCCAGATTTTCTCTGTAACCATTTACAAAGTCGGCAAGTGTATAATGCCTAGTTGATTCCAGCCTTCAGTCACCAAACTGCTGATGCTAAGATATAGATGGCTGTATACAATAAAAAAAAGAATGCACAGTATAGGCCTATCTGTACCAAATTGGTCTTCAGCCAATCAGTGGCCAATTATCGTATTGGGTGATACAAGGTATTTAATTATTTATGCTAATTTCCTGTCTACCTTTGCTGTTATCTAACATTTAAAGTTAATCTTTAAAAACACAAAATTATTTACTAACTGTCAAATATAATCAAATCTCAAAATGAATATAATTTTTTCATACTGTACATTATGTACTATACTGTATATTATAATATGATGCATTTGAAACAATTTATTTATTATCAATATTATCAAAATGGTATAGAACGATAATATTGATCATTCATTAGTTATTGAACATAATATTACAATTCTCAATTAGTATTATCTCTTTGACTGCAATGACTACACAATATCTGCTGCGCTCTGAAAAGAAAAGTGCAGAAGAACACTTACATATAACATTTTATGATTGTGTTGCATTTTCAGCTCTACAATTTATGACAGAAACTAAAGTGAGTTGAGAAACATAATAACACTAAACAGCGAGGCAAGTCGTACTATAAAAACTTTGGCATCTCATTCTTCGACAAAACACCTCGGGAGAGAAAGTGAAATGTGTCGACCCAAAATTGTGTGTTTCATTAAGGCAGCTAAAGCGCAACAAACTCCTTTTGAACTCCACAACTAAAACTGCACCAATCCAGAAGCCAGAGAGCATTTATGTAACTCTCTCAACTTTGACCTCTGATGACCTTTTGTCATCTTTGTGACACCTCACTTAGGTGCTTCTAAAAAAGTTTGTTTTGCTGCCCTGATTTCAACCTTTCCTCCTCTGCTCTGCCCTCTCACTCTCCCTTTCACTTGTTTTCTTCTTCTCTGCTTGTCCGTGACCAAATGCTCTCCCTCCATTATTTACTTTTCCCTTTGTTTCTGTTTTCTACACAACAGCAATCGCAATGTTCGATTCTGGTGAGCGCATGAGGGTGTACCGGGGCCAAACCACAAATGTGGTCTGGATGAGCGTGTATGTGTGTGGGGATTGTGCCCTGTGACCCTCCTCACCCCCAAACAAGGACACTAATTCAACCATGAATCATAATGGGGTCCAGTTGTGGCTTGTCGCTTGTTTGTTTCTTCCCCTGAAAGATTTACCCGCGCACGTCCCGAAGGATCATATCTTGCGCATTCATTCGCTCTTTCTTCCTCCGTCTTATTTTTTATTTTTATTTTTTATCACAGCACACACAGAGGTTAGTGAAAGAACGAAGAGATAGAGACTGCAACTGCCTTGGCAAGAAAACGCAGATAACAGCATGATAATCAGATAACCAGGAAGTGTGATAAGAGCTGTTTATTTCAACCTATGATATCGTGTTTCCACCTTC